TTAACGTATATATATATATATATATATATATATATATATATATCATGAAAAGCTACAATGACTGTAGGTATGAGCCATCTCATGGAATAGGCCTTGAGGTGAACCAGATACGAATCCCAGCAATCACAGGTCGATACGAATTTCGCTCCCGGTTCGCTTCAACAATAAACGCTGACGTGAAATATCCTAAGTGGTAGACGGATCATGGGCTAGTATCTCCTTGCCCTCAGGCTAACCGTGGCAGGTTTTCGTCTTTTTCTTATCCAATTAACGCAAAGGCTGGTTAGTTCTATCAAAAAATCCTTCAAGAAAGCAGGTTTCTACCAATACTTGATCCAGGTGTACAATTTTCTTCTTGATTTAATTCAAAAGTACAAAGAAACGGAGAGGAATATTAGTAGTCTTAAACGCAAAAATGGGTTTGCTGTTCAACGCTGTTTATAAAATAGAATACAATAACTGTAAATTATTTCCTAAATATTTAAATAAATGCATTTTTACCTAGTTTGTTTAAATCCGTCCAAATTGTTGAAGCTTGTTACTACTGACTATGGTATAGCATCAATGGAGGGAACAAAAAGAAATATTCTCCTCCCCTTCCCTTAATATTACATCTTTTAATTAAAATTAAAAATAGCATTTTGCTATTTTTAAATGTCACTTTTTCATATTGTTATTGGTAAAATTTTTTGTCATAATAATTTTTACAAATTTATTTCATGAGAAGAAATATATATTATTTAAATTTAATGTTGTAAATAACTTATAGATTTGCGTTTTGTAAATTATGAATTCAACAGTAAAACAATTTTTTTCCATCCCGCATACTATATTTAGTCTAAATACTATATTTAGTTAAAAGGATTAAGGCATTTAAGATTTAAAATATGAAAAAAATGTTTCATTTAATTAAAATGTAATATGCGTAAAAAAGAATTCAAGAGTTTTACTATTTTTTGGATTGCGAAGAAAAATAATCATTTCTTCTTTTTTGAATTTTAACATATAAATATTTAATTCATCATATGAATACATTAAAAAAAATTAAATATATTTTTAAATTTATACATCAATCTGCTCCTTTGTATTGTTTCTTGATAGTTAAATTATAAGATTTTAATTTAATTGGAATTTTCGTTCTTAAGATGCAATTTTACCTTTTTTAGGTCAAAGAGTTTTTTTTTATTTACAAAAATGTATTTTCAACAAATTAACGGATAGTGGTTAGATTTTAATATTCCGTTAAAATTTAAACAATTTATTCAACAGGAGGTTTAAATATATTTACCTATTTCACAAAACTTTCCTTTGTATGGGTATTTGCATAAACATGAATTACCCCTGTCTCCGGGTACGCATGTTCCGCCATGTTGACAATTAGTATTTGCACATGGATCTGAAGAAATAGCAGCATACTAATTAATACGAATGAAAATGCAACCTCATTCAAAAGAAATCATAAAACATTTATTCATGAGACGGAAATAAGTAAAACTTGATTTATGATATTTTTTCCTTTGAAAAGAAATTACTTAAGCTCTTAATTGTAATAGACTTTGCTTCGTCAAAATAATTTTTTCAATATTCTTTTATGCTATTGTTTGTAAATCAATGTAGTGATAAGGAATATCATAATTTTAGAGTAAACTGTCTCTCTTTATTGTTTTCAGTAAAGTAAATTATAAAAGTCTTACCTAATTTGTTTAAATCCGTCCAAATTGTTTAAACTTGTTACTACTGTCTATGGTATGGCATCAATACAGGGAACAAAAAGAAATATTCTCCTCTCTCTCCCTTAATATTACATCTTGTAATTTGAATTAAAAATTGCATTCTGTTATTTTTAAATGTCACTTTTTTAAATTGTCAATGGTACTATATGGTATATCCATCTGCTTACTATATTAGTTATATACTATATTTAATTAAAAGGATTAAGGCATTTAAGATTTAAAATGTAAAAATTATGTTTCATATAATTAAAATATAATACGCGTAAAAGATAATTCCAGAGTTTTAATATTTTTTGGATTGTGAACAAAAATGTTTATTTCTTCTTTTTTGAATTTTAACATATAAATATTTAATTCATCAAATGAATAAATTAAAAAAAATGTAATTATATTTTTAAATTTATACATCAAACAGCTCCCTTGTATTGTTTCTTGATAGATAAATTATAAGTTTTTTTAATTGGAATTTTCTTTCTTAAGATACAATTTTACCGTTTTACCAAAGTGATGGCCTCCTCTCTTAGTCATAGATTAACATGTAGTGGTGGTCACAAGAAGTATATAAACTATCGAATCTTTTTTATATCATCACGGTTTTAAATCTATAATTTCAGAAGGAATTCTGGTATTCAGTTAAAATCATATTAACTTAGCTAACACGAGGTTCATATATATTTACCTATTTCACAGAATTCTCCCCTATATGGATAATTACACCTGCACATTGCACTATTTGGAGTCACTAAACACTTTCCACCATTATAACAAGAAATATCTCCACATGTATCTGCAAAAAAAAAAGAAAAGCATTCATTACTTTTAAAATGTTTTATGTTATAACAATGAGAATTAAACTTCTTTACGATCCTCCAAAACATATTCATAGGACGACGAGAAGTAAATTTTTCTGCATGTATTTTTTTTATTAAAAAAAAGGTACTTAAACTCTTTAATATATTAGACTAGGCCTAGATAGAGTTCTTTTTCACTCTTAAATAGGTAATTGCTTGATGAAAAGGCCATTAATAGTTAAAGGGAAAAGAAACATCTTTTTAAGCTGTAGTAGTTATTACTTTTGTTTTAATCAAACTGTTCACAAGTATTATTTCCATAGGTATATTATAACTGTTCGGAATGTTTTGCTATATATCATGTGAAACTATATATTTTTAACTCATCTTTTTGAAATTGTATTTGTTTTCATGGATTTTGGACAAATTCTGGTACTTTTCATCATCACAATATGTTTGTTATCTCTTTTCAAAGTTTTTTTTTGATGCCTTGACCACTTTGTTTGAACACTCAAACTCCTATATTCTATTTTCTTAGTAACTACCGTTGCTAATTTTAAGATTTCATTAAATTCTTTGAGGCCTTCTGGTGTTGCCATGGATTGCCACCAAGCCTACCTTTTTGAATCCTCTTTTTCTTTTGCTCAGAGGTCACGTGCTTGCTCTTAGAGTCTACAGTATTCTCCGGATGACCCCTGACGGTGGCGGGATGGGGTTAAGCTTTGATATATCAGTGAAACACGTAGAAATAGCTAATTAACTTACTTTTCCTTAATTGACCTTTTGCGCATTTGGTGCAGACGTTTTCCAGGTCGCTGAGAGAGATTTTAAATGTCTCTTCTAAGGGTTTTTTTATTACAATGTCTATGGATAAAATTCCGTTCCTCTCAAAAATGATGGTAAAGAAAAAAAAGGGAGGTCGCTAGATGGAGGTGGTCTTTCCTGGAGGTTTCACTGTATTTACTCTACAGATTAATCTGTAGTGGATGTGTCAAATACGAGGCTTGTCCATAAAATAAAGTTCTCAACGAATTTTCACAATGGAAAACATATATATTGGCATTGAATAATACATGTTTGGAAAGCTGACTGCCCTCTAGTTTTCAACATAATCGTCGTTTAGATCAATGCATTTTTACATGCGGTGTACCATCTTCTTTATGCCTGAGTCGTAGAACTCCGCCGCCGCTCTGCGAAGATAACTTAAAACCCCCTTCTTTCAGCTCATCGTTGGTTGTGAAATAGGGAAATACGTCCCTCCCAATTAATTCAGGGAAGAGATGGTAATCCCTGGGGGCTCGTATATAAATTATAAGAACATTTTTCAATACATTGTAAACATATAAAAGTTGAGATAAATAAATTTTTCAGTTAAAACAATATTAATTTAATTAACAAGCAGCTCATGTATTTACCTATTTCGCAGAATTTTCCCTTATGTCGATAATCACATTCACAATGCACATCATTATTAATGACTGCACACTTTGCTTTATTTTTGCAAGGATTAGGTTTACATGGATCTGGAAAAAAAACCACATGGAACATTCAATATTTTTAAAATGTTTTACATTGTAACAATAAATATTAAACCTTATTTCAAGCATCCATTATGTATTTATTTATGAGAGGGAAAGTTCAACAGCTTTCATAATTCATTTTCATTCTAATATTTATTTATTGATAAAGCAATTAGGAAAACTCTTCCTTATATTAAACTGTGTCCAATTTGATGATATTTTTGGAGCTATTTTGACACATTTTTTTAAAAATAAAATTAGAGAAACCCTTTTTCTCAGTGTAGTAACAATATGCTTTCTTTGTATAAGAAAATAACAAAATAATTTTTAACACACTATTTAATTGCCTATTTATATGGTTAAAAAGTTCATTAAATAGAATGACTGTCGTTACTAAAAATTGGTTTTCACTTATTGTTTGCAAATTTAGTGATTTTATTAGTCTTGATCTTTACTAATACAGATAATACAGTCATTGTTATCTGTATTATCGATATTTCATTTACACTTGAAGTAAAGAAAAATGTCATAAAATATCAAATTTTCATATTGTCTCTTACAAAATTTTCCTTTTTTGTCTTTTACAAACTAAATTGTGCAAAAATTTGCACAACGGGATAAAAATACAAAAAATTTAAATTGGTACAGTTGTGAGAAATATTACATATTTTTTACAAAAAATATAAGTATGAATCTACCAATTTTGAAAGAAAGAATTTTGTTTAAAAAAAAAACCTGTATTTATGTGAAAAAATATCAGCATGTCATCAAAATATATTTTGTATGCAATGCCCGAAATTTAAAGCATTTCATTAGGATTATGGGATGTTTAAACATCCGCAGGTAAAAATAAAATTAAAAATAAGTAAAAAGAAGTTTAATACTGGAAAAGGAAAACATATATAAGTAATAATTGAGGGTAAATCTTTATTAAAAACTTAAAAATTTATCACCTACTGTACTTCACTGTTCATGTAAAATAAAGTTATAAAATATAGTTTGATTGTATCCGCGGAAATGTTATAACGGTGATTTTTCTTTTTTTTACAAGATTTTTTTCTTAATTTCTACTAGTGCAATACGAAAAAGCAGCTAATTTTTTTAAAACTTAAACAGCATGATGTTTCAAACAATAGAAAGATTTACTGAGCAATTAGAAAGGCTGCTTTTCATTATATTGCCCAATTTCTTCTTTTAAAGAGCAATATTTTTCAGCTTTTTAAATAAAATTCTATAATATTAGTTATAATATTAGTCGCAATATTAATTTTTTCCCAGAATCAGTCTTTTAACTACCACCCTTTAACAAAACTGACTTTCTAAAGTTAGAAATGGTGTTTTTTTTTAAAAAAATAAAGTGAATTCTAAAGATCAAACATTTTTATTAGCTTTATGTTTCCTGAACACCTTTGTTTGTTGGCACAAAATAAATTGCCAACCCGTTTTAATTTTCTAGTCTATAGTGCGACGTAAATAAAGCACAACTTCTATTACTCCAGATGATAATATTTAACTGAAACAGATCATTCAATACGCCAAAAACAGAAATCTAAGCTAAATTTCAGAAGTAACTCATAACTGCTTCCGTCTAAATGAACAAGAACCGGCGAACAAATGAAGAAAGCGATTAAAAACATAAACTATATAATACAAACTAAAAAGCAGCAAGAAATTTTTTTCTTTCTTTTCGAAAAGCTCAGCATACGAGTTGCTGAGCCAGCACCATATCCTCTTGTTACTACGTGGTCATATCCACCGGCACCTGCTGCTCTTGGAATTAATTCAATTAAATTCTCAATATTTTACCCGTTTTTCAAAAAACAAAGAATAACTCTGAAGATGTTTTTATTCTGGTTGCAAGATATTTTTTAACGGATCCTGATTTCATGATTGCAATCGGCTTCTCCCTACAAGCTACAAATTTTGTAAATAAATAACATATTCCTAACGAGGGTTTTTTTTTTATAAAATAAAAATCACTCGAGTGAATATTAAGTGTTTCCACCACTCTATTACGTAGGAAGTAGCATGGAGAAGTAATTAATACATTTCAATTTATGATTCGATGCGATGAAGCCATATGTTTTTTTTTTGTCTCAAATATTTTTTTGCCCACGTTATTCTTGGATACGTCATCGGGTTAACATTTAACATCTCGCACACGCATTTATTAGCATTACTTGGAAAGGGCTGGTTTAAACTTGGATATATTCGCAGATTAACTTAAAGATCTTCAAGTTCCCATTTATTTTAAGATAAATTAAGGTAGTGTTGTTAATGGCTCGGATGCATTCAAAGAGTAACCTATGTTTCTTCAAGTTTCCATTTATTTTAAAACAAATCACAGAAGGGTTGTTAATGCATCGGATGCAATTACTGGTTAAACTATTCTTTTTCAAGTTTTCCTTTATTTTAACATAAATTGAGGAAGGGTTGTTAATGCCTCGGATATATTCTCGGGTTACACATTAGTTCCTCGATTTCCCATATATTTTAAGATATATTAAGATCGTGTTGTTAATCACTCAGTTACATTCAAAGAGTAACCTATATTTCTTCAAGTTTTCCTTTATTTTAAGATAAATTGAGGAAGGGTTGTTAATGCCTCGGATATATTCTCGGGTTACACATTAGTTCCTCGATTTCTCATATATTTTAAGATAAATTAAGGAAGGGTTGCTAATGATTCGAATAGATTCGCAGGTTAAGCATTAGTTTCTCAAGCTTAAATTTATTTTAAGATAAACTAGAGAAAAGGTTTTTAATATTTAAAAAAGCAGTTTAGTTTAATATCAATTATATTGACTTAAGTATATAAAATTTCTCAAAATGCACTTACCAGCATTTTCGGGTGCTTTTCCAGAACTGACAAATTTCTTTAAGGTATTTTCATACTGTAACTCATCAATGTGTAATCGGCGTGCAAAATCGGCCTCTAAACCGTATGAAAAAGAAACAACAAGAACACAAATTAAAAATTTAAACATAATGAATAAATTATTTGTGTTTGATACCATAAGACAGTTGACTGTGAGGGTCAGTTAATATTTGTATATTTTTATATTGAGCAACTATCTATCAATTTTCTAAGAATTGACAGGTGTTGCCTTATAAGATAAAATAGTTTCAAACATTTGGGAAATTTCAAAATGTTACTCCTAGAATTTTTCATTTACATTAATTCTAAAAGTTATTTACCTTTTATTAGATATCAATAAAGCAGATACGGGCTTATTATCATTAATTTTCTATACTTTTTATCTTCATGCGTATTGTGCTCATTTGTAATTTTAAGCTTCTATCATATCTATTTTAAGTAGATAAGTTTCTTTATCTTCAAGGAGAGTGCTTACGTACTTATAGTAGAATGAAAATAAACAGCAATAAATTTCATATTAAATGTTAAATGAAATATCAGTTTATTAAAAATAAAATCCAAACTTATAAAGATCTAAAAAGCATCCTAAAAAAAGTATTTACCACAGCTTTTACGAAAACAAAGTTAAATACAAACCCACCAACATTTGAGATTTGAACAAAATATTTTTCCAGATTTTTTTTCCAACATTTTATTATTATTTTAAAGATTATTTTAAAAGAAATAGAATTCGTTAAAGGCATTGTCATCTGGCTATTTAAAATTTTATGTATGCATTATATTATATTATTTATATGTAAAGGTTGGGAAAGCTCTTTAAATTACAATATAGTAAAATATTTACACATAACTTTCGCTACCGTTAGGAAAAATATGTTCTTGAGAGTATGAGAGTAGCAGGGCATGAAAATTATATTGTTTAACAATATATTAAAATAATAACACATTACTATTAATTCCTTTAAGGAGTCAAAATTTGCATATCAAAATTCGCATATCAAAATGGACCATACTTGGGGAAGTTAGTTTCTATTTATACGATGACTGAATTTTTATAATAAATAATTGACTGATTTACAAACATTAATTTGTTTTCTTAGAGAGTTTAAAATATGTTTAATGTGTGAACCTCTTTACAAAGGCAGAAATTACAATTTAGCTTCGGATAAATATTCCGTTACATAGCACGGTACATATTAGTACTTTTAGTGAATCCTCAGAATTTCTCATATTTTTCGAAACTTTCATATGCAAATAAATTTATAACATTTTCGTGTCTTGGTGGCCTTTTTAAAGAAATATGTCGAAATAAAATTAAAATGTTATGTTTTCCCCTTTATTTACTGACGGTACTTTATAGTAGTGGTTTTTAAATGATGTTCCTTGAACCCTTGGGTTCCACGAAGAGGTCACGGGGGTTCCGAGAGTTAAGACAACATTATCAGTTACGAAACACTATAATAAAATTTTTATCCAGTTAATTTTTCATTAGTTATTAAATACTGATAAGATAACTATTATCCACGTTCATTTTTGTTCTGTTTCATTTTTATTTAAATGAGAAAAACACTTCAGTTCATGTATACAATAAAACCAAATTATGAACTAGATTGGATGCCCCATTAGACTCGTAAATTCAACTGTCTGACATAAAACACAATTTTAAGATTAGTATTGTTAAAAAACTACACAATGAAAAAGTTCACTTCTCATTTATTCATAAAATAGTTTTAAAATAAATAATGAAGTATTAAATTTTTAAATATTTAAAAATAAATCGAATACTAGTCTTTAGTTGATTAATATTTTTTTTGCATTTGCTAAAGAAATTTCTATTAATTAATTTTCTAAATTTAACTAAATTTCTTCTCGGGGTTTCGCTAAAAGAGGGTCGGTAATAGAGGGTTAAAACTTATGAACCACTGCTTCCAAAAAATGAAGTGTTAGCAAATTATTTCCTCGTCAACAATTGTTGGAAAGATCATAAATATTCGCTTTCACAGATATACAATAACAAATTAAACATTCATATTTGAAGAGGACATGTGTGACTTTTAAAAAATTACTGTCGAAAATAGTCAATAATACATTAATACTTTGCGGTTAAATAAAGATCTATAAAGCTTATTTACGGCATACTTACATTTTAAATTGTTTACTTTTAAATATTAAGGACTGCATCAGGTTTTGTCACTATGGCAACCATTATTTTGAACTATTCTTGATAGAGTTGGAGGTTGGAGTTAAAATTAAATATATATATATATATATATATATATATATACTTAAATATGGAAACGCACCTATG